TTTTTTTTTTTTTCCTTATAAAGGGCTAGTCCATTCTTTCATGGTTAACTCCTGGATACTTCATAATTTTTGTTGCTATTGTAAATAGTACCTTTTTTAAATTTTTAATCTTTTTCTTATTTAGTTTTTATGTTTTTGAATCTCATGAATCCAGTGCAGGTGCATATCTTGGCAAACAGTACCTTTTTAAAAAATATTTTTCAGTTTTAATGCTGGTGTAGAAGAGCAGTATTGATTAGTATGTTCTTATGTCCAACAAACTTGCTGTGCTCTTATTGATTCCAATAATTTGTATATTTTGTATGATCTTTTATATTAATCATTTTTTCCTACAAATGATAGTTTTGCCTTTTCCAATTTTGTAACTTTTGCTACTTTTTCCTTTTCTAGTTCTCTGTCGAACATTAGAGATGTAATGGGTATCCTTTCTAATTACCAAGCTCTCCAAAAAGTATGTCATCCTTTCCCAAACAAAAAATTACAGATTCATCTGTAATATGACGACACTCAATGGGGACAGTGAGGGGCAAAAATAGTTTCTGCCCCAAACAGCCAGTCGGATGCTGGTACCATTTGCTGAGACAAGGAATACAGGAGGCGGAGCAAGAAGATGGAATTCAGTTTTAGAAATGTTGAGTTTGAAGTGCCTATGGGTTACCCAAGTAAAGACAGCTAATAGGCAGTTCCACTTAAGGGCTAGCAGAGAAGTCTAAGGCTAGAGGTGAAGACTTGAGAGCCCTAAATTTATAGATGGTGACCGAAACCACAGGCATGCATGAGATCATTCAGGGACAATATATGTGGAGTGAGAAACGAAAAATGCAGAGGAGAATGAGAGGGTCAGGGAGGCAAAGGGAAAGCCAGTAGAATATGGTGTCATAACCCCCCAGGCAGGGCCCACAACCTTCTCCATGAGAAGCCTCGAGGCTCAGGACCTAGGGTCACAATAAAAATCCTAGGATGTTTTGACTCTTTTCTGTCTTTTTGCCAGTTGCCAGATACAAACTCCGATTAGTTGGTCCACCAAAATTACCCCTAGAAAAAAAACCCAACTGTGAGGAAGATGGTGAGTAGTGAGCTCCCCTACACGGCTCTGTGCCTTGGCCGAATACCAGGGACACGCAAAGCTAGTGTGCTATGGCACACAATCTACTTTTGTTCTGCACAGGTCCAGATTTTGAGCCCAATCTGTGGATGTGGGTAAACCCTAACGTCGTGTTTCCCCCTGGAAAGCCGGAGGTCCCTGTGTCTAGCAAGAGGGAGGATGTGGCAAGCACACCCTCCTCCCCTCAGGCACCCCAGGAAGAGGAAGATGCCAGTGGCTCAGAGGCCACAGGGGAGGAATCACTGCCCCTTTCTTCCAGCGAGCAGTCTCCCCCTCAGAAGCAGTTTGCCTCTTCCCCCAGCAACCTGGAGGTATGGATCTGGGGTTGTAAGCTGGACTTGGGCAGTACGTGGGATGGGCGTAGGGAAGATACAGTGGATTTCTGTTTTCTTAGGGATAGCAAAAGGTTAATGGGTTCAGAAATGACCTACATCCTTGGGTTGGGGAGAAGCCCAGATGATAGCCCTAGACAGCTACCCCTTCCTGCCATTGCACCCTGGAGTAGAGGCTGAGGAGTCAGGACCAGTTCCTACTCTGTGCTCCTCTAGCTCACAGAAGAAGAGGAGGCTGAGGACCAGGATGACGGCTCCTCTGTGGCTCTCCCGTCCCCTCACAAAAGGGCCCCCCTCGAGAGTCGGAGGCTTCGGCAAGCCAACATCCAGGCGGGCAGGCTCTGGTCCCGGCCCCCTCTCAATTACTTCCACCTAATTGCCCTGGCATTAAGAAATAGTTCCCCCTGTGGCCTCAACGTACAGCAGATCTACAGCTTCACTCGGTATGTGCCGGGGCCCTGTGAGGAGGGAGAATGGAGGGGGCCAGGGCTGATGCTGGTCTGATGCTTTCCAATATGTCCCAGGCCCTGGGCTGTTGACTCAGTTTCCCCCTCTGGGTCTGAGAGGACGAGCACATTCCCAGTTCTCTTTTCCCAGGTGCATGTGTGCCCACATGTACAGGAACATACCTACTCCCAGCCCTGTTCACATCTTAAAAAAGGGTGGAGGTGGGTACTTTTTTTTTTTTTTAATGGCTTAGTTCTCTTTTAAAATATAAATTTACCTGGGTCAGGTAGGTTTCTCCCACCATTCCTCTCACAATTAGCCACTATAAAATCTGGTTCCCCCAATAGTTCCCCACCTGCTTCTGCTAGGGCTGGATTGCCTGGCACAACTCCCTGTACCCACAGGGGCCAGCGGAGCCCAGCCAAGAAGAGATTTAGCCTTAGCTCTGATGGTCCCCTACACACAGTGCAAGGGGGCGCTCAGACCCTCTCCAAGTTATTAGGAGAAGAGCCCAGTGTCTCAGAATATTAATCCTCAAGTGGAGCCCCTCCTTGACCAAGGTTCCTCTCACAGGAGCTGGTTAGCCCGATTCCGCTTTGTCCGTGCTGTAGCCCAAGTCCCGAGTCCTCAGAGGGAGGGCGGGAAATGGGACTGGGGCTGGGGGCAGTGAACTGGGCTTAAAAGGCAGGCAGTCACATGAGCAACGCACCAGGTGGTTTAGCCACACGTTGGGCAAAGAGCAGTTCCAGCCGGCTTACCATTACCACCCTGAGAGAAGGGCTGAGGCTCCTGGCCCCTGGGGAAGAACATGCTCGAGAGTAGGGCGTCCCTCAAAGAAACCAGGCTTTCCTTACCCCTCTTCCCTGTCCACAGACACCACTTCCCCTTTTTCCGGACCGCCCCAGAAGGCTGGAAGAATACCGTCCGTCACAATCTCTGTTTCCGAGATAGCTTCGAGAAAGTGCCGGTCAGCGAGCAGCGTGGGGCCAACACACGGCCTCGGTCCTGCCTCTGGAAGCTGACTGAGGAGGGACACCGCCGCTTCGAGGAGGAGGCCCGCGCCTTGCCTTCCACTCGGCTGGAGAGTATCCAGCGGTGCATGAGCCAGCCAGGTGTGAGGCCTTGCCCTGTGGGCCCGAAGGGGAGGGGACCTGAGGATCCTGACCCAAGGCTGAGTGTGCAAGCAGGTCGCATGCCATGGGGGGCTTCTTCTGTAGGAAGCAGGGGAGAATAGCAGTGGTCTGAGACCCTTGAGTGGTGCCTGAGGCGAGACCTCCCCCACAAGCATGGGACTTGTTCAAGGAATTGATCGGGAAACAACTAAGGAGCAACCGGCCCTACTCACAGCCCAGCAGCCTGGGGAAACGGTGACCACACAGTATGAGAAGCAATAGAGGTTGTGTGCAAAAGGGACTTTGTCTTTCCCTGGAGCAGTTCAGGGAGGCTTCAGAGAAGTGGTGGCATTTGAGCCTTGAGTGAGAAGATCACCTGCTATGAGAGAGCATCCCAGGCTTAGGGAACAGCAGCTGCAAAAACACACTCCTTTAAACTCTCTTCTTTTCTTACAGATGTGATGCCTTTCCTCTTTGACCTTTAACCCCAGAAGCAAGAGTCAGCCCATGATTTATTAAAGTTAACCCTCAGCAGCCTTGTGCGCGTGTGTGTTTGTGGGGTGGAGGATGGGAGAGTCTCTGAGGATGGGGCTAAGGGTGGAGGTGGAGTTCAGCTCCGAGGATGAAAGGGGGATGCCCTCAGAGCTGACGGGCGATCCAGAGACAAGGGGGCAGTTGCCTGGTGTGCGGCAAAGGGAGTCCATAATTTGCTTTCCTCAAAGGAGGGAAATATTCAGCCCTTTTCAGGATCCTGGAGCAATTTTCATTTTTCTGGGCTATGCAGATGATCTTCAGAGAGATCAGCTGTCACATCCCACCCGACAAGCACCACCTGCCTACTCATTCAACTGCCACTCTTTAAGCAGCTACTCTATCCAAGCTCAGAGGATAGAATACAGCCCTACCTCGGGGGCCAGGGGCAGTTTCTGCACTGCACCGTGGTAGCCGTACCGGTGGTGAGGGCCTGTACTAAGGGAGCACAGCAGGGTGGTGCTTATTTTTTTGTAAGTTTAGAGGTGGTAATTTATTTTTGTTTTACTTTGTTGAGAATTTCAAACCTATCCAAAGTAGAATGTAGTGAACCCCCCTACACAGCTGTCTTCCAGTTTCAGCCCCTCACGGGTAACCGTGTTTTATTTATATATCCCATCCCTTCCCCTTCCCTGGATTATTTTGAAGCAATTCCTAGACATCCTTTTTTCTCCGAAAGGACTCTTTAAACATAGCATCATCACATCTAAAGGAGATTAGCAATTTTAAAATTTTATATGAATACTAGTCATATTTTCCCAACTTTCTATTTTATTAGCTGAAATACTTTTTTAGTTTTTTTTTTTTTATAGCTGAAATGCTTCTATAGAAAAAATCTTCCTCTCATCCATAATTTAGTTATCCTGAGGTACGGTTTTTACAAGAAAGGCAAGAGTACTCAATTCCTTCCCTTGATATGCTAGTTTTAAAAACAAGCAGTTGGCCAGGTGTGATGGCTCATGCCTATAATCACAGTGCTTTGGGAGGCTGGTAGGGAGGATCGTTTGAGGCCAAGAGTTCAAGGTCAGCATACCAAGACCCCCCCCCAACCTAGCTGGCATGGTGGTGCCCGCCTGTAGTCCCAGCTACTCAGGAGGCTGAGCCAGGAAGATCACCTGAGCCCAGGAGTTGGAGGCTGCATTGAGCTATGATGATGCCACTGCAGTCCAGCTGGGGTGATAGAATAAGACCCTGTCTCGAAATAAAAAACACATTGGCTCCCTAGCAGCGAAGAGGTAGCTTTAGAGTTGTCTTACAGCCTAGACAGGAAGTAGGTGGATGAGAAGTCCTGTAGGTGAAAACGGGATGGCATGCAGAGAGGAGTGGGAGGATAGGAGCAGGCTACACGGGTACGCAGGGGCCAAATCGCTGTCAGCCATGGGGGGCTAGCCAACAGGTGAGTGGCTGAGTGGTATTTGTGTTTAAGATTAGAAAGAGTGCCCAGCTGTGTTGTGGATGGTGCACAAGAAAGGGGAAAGGCTGGAGAAGACCAGTTAATTGCTGATGGAATGACTCAGGGGAGAAGTTCTTGCTCTAAGATGGGTGTAGGACATGAGGGGAGGAAAGGGATCCCAAAGTTTTAGGAAGTAGAATCTGCTCATTGGGACATGTAGGCACAGGGAGGAATCTAGGCCGACTTGGGGGCTTGGGGAGGAGTAAGGGATACAACTGGGAAAAGGGCTAGAGGATGTTAATATGAACATGGGAATCCCGTACACCATCCTAGCGGCGGTGGTTGCCGCGATAAGCAGTTGGAGGGGAGTCCGAAGCACAGGGAAGAGGTCGGGACTAGTGGGGCAGGTTTGGGGTAAGCTTCAGATGAAGCTGAAGCCACAGCTGGGACTAAATGAAAAGAAGCCTGGTATTTATGGGGCAACTGAAGGAAGGAACTACACAGGTTCGAGAGGAAAGAATTTCTTGCAAGAGTAGTCAGGCTCAAGCCTCATTTCCCCATTTAACCATCGTCAACATTTAAGCTCACCTTTGCATCAGGAGTGCCAAACAATTTTGCTCAATTCCAGTAGGGATTAATGGGGGGAGAAGGACAAAGAATCACTGTGGGGAGCTCAGGGCCTGAGACTCGTTACTCTTCCCTGTGCTGGTCTCTAGCACCCCTTAGGAGAAGCCACCTATGGAATAAGAGGCCTGGAGGCTGCAGGTCCCAGCTGGGCTGCTGTGGCCTCCCTGGATGCAGAAGAGAGCTCCAGGGAAGGGCCAGCTGGCAGCCTCAGGTCTGACGGGAAGAGGGGGAAGCCTGGGGACAAGAAAGGAGTGAGGTTTGAGCTCTGTCAGGATCCCAGAGACACTCAGTGCTTAAAGTCAACACTGGATCTTCCACAGGATTGAGATGGGGGCTCTCACTCCCTCTCCTGCTCTTCCCTCCCCCCCAGTAGGCCTGCACAGAAACAAGGCTCTGACCTCAGAGCCACCGCTGCCTGCCTGGGTATCACTTTTGTCCAGAGGTGGCAGTGTGTGGTGCTTGACTCTTGAGAGTAGCTCCCAGGTCTCAGCAGCTGGCTGGAGTTAAGGGAGTGTCACTTTTTCATCTTTCCTCCCTGCCCTCCTTGCTGGTTATGCATTCTGATGTAGCTCCTGCCTCCTCATTCTGGAAACACCTACCTCAGGCAAGCCTCTTCCTCTTTGAGCCTCAGTGTTCTAATCGGGAAAATAAGTTAATGATGCCTCTTTCTTAGTACCAGTGTGGGAAACAAATGGGATGAAATAGGGTGCCTAATATGGCACCTGGCTCATGGTGGAAGCTAAGTATTAATAAATGGCAACTATCTTATTATGCATTGTGACGTCTACGTAGGAGTCTCCACCCGTTCCAGGAGGCTGGTGGACCCATAATGGTCTGCGTCTACTTTTAGCACTCGACAACTCTTAGTGGTAGCCTGGACCGTGCTGTTGCTTAGAAACACTTTGATTTTTCTGTCTTTGACGCCCATCTCTGCTCCTTCCCAGCAGATAACTTGTCCTGTACCAAACTGTGTCATCTTTGGCACAAGTTTTCTTAACATTTCTAAACCTCAGTTTCCTTGGTATGCAAAATGCGGATAATGATAGCACACAGGTTTGCTTTGAGAACTAAAGATAATGGAAAGTGTGTAGTCCGGCATATTAACATTTACTGAGTGCTTATAATGGGACCAGACATCATTCTATGTACATTTGCAGACTTAATTCATACAACCCTATTAAGGAATAGGTACTATTCTTTTTTTTTTTGAAGCGGCACGTTTTAGAAGAGGTACTATTCTCATTCTGCCTTTGAGTGTGGTGGCCATTAAATCTGAGCAGTAGCCTTCATTTCCTGTCCACTTATTCACACCTTAACGCCTTGCAACCTGGCTCATTGTGAAAGCCAACTTCCTCCTCCCTGATCTCTGAAACATGGTACTCCGGCTAGGTGTGGCGGCTCACGCCTGTAATCCTAGCACTTTGGGAGGCCGAGGAGGGAGGATTGCTCGGGGTCAGGAGTTCAAGACCAGCCTGAGCAAGAGCAAGGCCCCTGTCCCTACAAAAAAAATTGGAAAAAATTAGCTGACACCACTGCACTCGAGCCAGGGCAACAGAGCAAGCAAGATCCTGTCTTAAAAAAAAAGAAAGAAAGAAAGAAAAGAAATGAAACATGGTACTCCTGAAAAGCATAGCCTATGTTCTACCAGACCAAGATCTCTGCATCTCTGAAGAAAGGCCTCAGTTTGCTTGATTTGTACATTTTTGTGACAGACATGAAATCCCCACCCTACCCTGTCACCTCTCCATCACCACCACCTCTGCTCTTCCCACCCCCCAAACCGGCTCCAGCTCTTCTATTTCTAAACATGCACCATAAACTTAGTAGTGCTAGGCCGGAGCTCTCACTGGGACTGGACTGACCTACAGGGCACCGCAATTGCCACAAATTTGGGGGTGTTATGGCTATTGGTAGGCCCAGGAATGTCAGATGTCCCCAGTGCAGGAAGACAGTCTCTCACCTTGAAGAATTGGCCCTTAGACCACAGGCCATTTATAATGAATGAGCTGTGCCAAGAGCTTGACTTGATTTTACACCTAAACAGAAAACATTTGTTGCATCATTTTAATAGACACTGAATTTTCTAGGAATGCAACTATTATGTTAAATGAAGGAAGACTGTACTTTTGGTTTGGAGGTTTACCAAGAGTTGTTTGCCATTTTGGAAAATCACTTCACTGACAGCAGAGCTGCACTGGTATTTTCACACGCCTGTACCAGTTTGTGTTTGTATCTATGGCACTCCGGGATTCTATGTGTATAAACAAATATACTTATTTAGCTGTTATTTCAAGGTAGCTAATATAAAGAAAAAGTATTTTTAATATTGATTTGAGTATCATCTCTTAAATCTAAGCTATTCATGATAAGTATGCAAATTTTCAACTATTTCATGTCTTCAAGTATAGTTTGTCCACTGAAAAATACATTTTATAAACTTTTCTCCCCTTGTTTTTCTGTTATTATAGTTAGAGCATTATATTGATCTTTTAAAAGTTATACTTGTAGGTCAGTTATTTTATCAATAAGATTCATTTCAGGGTAGTGAAGATGGCCTTGTAAAGTATTTGTCCCATTCCTAGGTGTGAAGGCTGACAGGGTAAAGAACCACTAAACCAATAATGGATGAGATGCAGCTCCCACCCCACAGGGGCTCACTTACAGTGCTACTGGCAACCAGGGAGAACAGCACGAAGGGATATGCGATGTTCACATCCAGACCCCTAGAGCCTAGCACGGGACCTGTTAGGTAGTGTCTTAGTCTGTTTTGTGCTGCCATAACAGAATATCACAGACTGGGTAATTTATAATGAATAGAAATTTATTGCTTCATAATAAACAAAAAATTAAAAAAAAAAAGAAATTCATTGGCTCACAGTCCCAGGGGCTGGGAAGTCCAAGATCCAGAGGCCTCAGCTCTTGAAGGCCTTCTTGCTGCATCATCCCGTAGCCCACAGTGGAAGGGCAAAGAGGGCAAGAG